CTGAATCACTCATGTGAGACAGCACACACAGATTACATTAAATGGGTGAGTTACTGAATTTAAAATAAATAAATAAATAAATCTTTGTTTTCATTGGTTGTCTCACAGCAACAGTCCATTAACTATGCTGAAACTCTAAAAATCTATTACAGCCCAACCCAGTATGCTGGTGTGGGATGGAGAACACCACTGCCAGTAGTCAGGGCTCTGTCCAACATTTAGGACACTGAATTCATGTCCTTTGTATGTTGACTGTGAATTAGGTGTTTTCACATCCTGTCCAGTGTTTTAAGTCCATTTAAATTGTATTACTTTTAGGTCAACAAAAATATATAGATTTATACTAACTTAAATAGAGAATTCAGTATTTCCCCACTACGACCTTACTCCCAGTTTTGTTTCTGTATATCCTAAACTTTTTTGAACTTTTTGGAAATAAATCAAGCAAAACAAATCAAACAAAAAAACAAAAGCATTTAAGTAGAATGAATAAAGAATTATTTTTTTAAAAATAAATAAAATAAAAAATAACAAGTAGTAGTTAATATGATGCCATTTGAGAGTGGAATTGACTTAAAGCTAGATTAGTGCGTCACAGTCATGAAGGCACTGTGACAAAACACTGTATACTGTATGTATAAGCCATTGATTCTGGTTCTGAGAGGGACATGCATAGACAAACACTGCCCCCAGCTGGTCCTTTACTGTGCAGCATGCTGTCATTCAACCTTACTGTCATTTAAAGGTAAATAACATCATAATAGGCTGAATGGACTGAATGACAGTGAATTTTATCTATGTTTCCAAAACATGAAAATGTACTCTCTCCTTGACCTGAAAGTTCTTACAAGGCACAGGCTCCATGGCCCAGATAGTTGGAGGCCATGTTAGGAGTAACAGCCTGAATTTGAAGTAACTGTTATTTAATCCGGTCAGTGTTTTTTTGATCTGACTCCTTTCATGCAGTATCTCCTGATCTAGCTTTTATTTCTGTTTTTTCTTTTTGGTTTGTTTGTTTTTACCTAGTGTTCATGAGTTCAGTGGAAGTGTCAGTGTGGATCTCCCATGGCTACATCTATAAACAAAACACAACACAACGGTTCAGTGGTTGCTGATCGCTTGCTCATAGGGAGTCCAAAGGCAGCTTTGGATTGTTGGGTGCTGTGCTCATAATACATAAAGTCTGTACCTTATTATGTTAAGCAGTATGAGATAACTCATGTTGTGAATTGTGCTGTATAAATACTAATGAATTGAATTAGTAAGATAGGTCTCAAAAAGGACCTCTCCACGCAGGATGCCCAGATATCTTCTATCTGTTACTGTCACAGTGGCTGGATATTACTTAGGAAAATGCATGTCTGTAGTTTGGGCGAACTGATCTTTCAAACACTTTTGTATTGCAAAACAAAATTTTCTTAATTTTGGTGTTGGCATGAATGTCTGCCTGACACCTGAAAAGACAGCCCCCTCATCTCAGTGCTCAGAAATCCCCAGCAACGAGGTCAAGACCTTTCTATTTTATTTCTTGAATTAAAAATTGTAATTAGGTACAGTTTCAAGAAACTTATAACTTACTTTGCTTGACAATTTCTAATAAATGTCACATTTTGCTTCGAGTTCACTGCATTTAGGAAATAAAACTTTTAAACATCTGCAACAGAAAAACAAAGAATCGGGAAAAAAGCTGAACAATGAGTTCACATTTGTGAAGAATATTTTGCTTGTAATAAGTCTACCTGCTGGACTCAACAGCTCATTCAGTGGTTTGATGAATAAGACTGGGATGTGAATTATATGCTGTAGTCTTCTCAAAGCAGCCAAAAACAAGAAAAGTTGACATCTAAGGCCAATCAATAAAGATGTGTGTGTCTGACATCTTCAGCAATGAATTAATCCTTTTCACGTGGAAATCCCTGTGCCGGAACCTGGCTGTAACTGCTCTTAATCTGCTGCCATTTTTACAAGTTAGCACAGTGTGGCATGTTCACTGAAAACCCCCTCTAATGCAAAGATGACTTAAATGGATGCACTGTTGTTCTGCGAGGCAACAGTGCTACCAACTGCGCCACCTTGCAGCCCTTTTTTACTATCATTGTAAATAAATAGTTGTTTGTGTGATCTGATCATTTTTTGTCCTTTCATCCTCCCATCCCTTTAACATGCATATTTCATGCTTCACTGAGGATGAGGCAGCTTTTACAGGTTCAGGTTTTGTTAATATTGGTGACCTTCTTCTTTGTTGCCACAACCCCTGGACTCTGAAGTGGCCATCTGGTTTTCCTGCTTGTACCTTTCTGGCCAACTCTGTCAGTTAGTTTTCTCATTGCCTCCTGTGAGTTTTTGTTCTTGGTTTTGAACACTGTTTCAGTTGTTAGCTTGGCCTTTTGCTTGTCCATTACCCCTCCCCAGTTCACATCCCTGTTAGTTCAGTTATAGTTTTTGAGCTAACCTGGTCAGGAGAAGGTTATGTTCAGAATTTAGGATTTAAATTGGCTGGAAGAAGCATCTCCCTTCAACCAAATAGTCTCCCGACGATTCCCAATAAGCGATACAGATTCTCAGCTGAGGGAATGTGTTTTATCTGCAGACATGCTGAGTTGTACGTTACTAATATCACTGAATGAAGCCGTGTAGTTACAGTTCTACACACTGTAAATATTGCGTTGCCATGGGAACCCAACATGTATTTAGTTGGTGATGCAGAAATCACATAACTATGTTTTTATGTTTGGCTCTGATTTGCTGTCAGATCCGTTTACTCTGCTGGTAGAACACATATTAGAAAATGGATTATTCTACCGGTATTTATTGCAGAGAATATTCAATAACATTAATTTCACTTTGATTTGACAAAAAATGTGTCAAAATAGTTTTCAAGAACAAATCTTCAAACAGTCTTAGATTCTGATGTGAATAATGTTTATTCAGTGCAGAAGCTGTAAAATAAAAGAAGCACTTTAGATTACATGTTGAGTAACAAAATATATAGCATGCACAGATATTGAACAAAAGCATTTGCTTAGATCATTTTTGATCCATCTTCTGCATCAGAGGACTTAACACTTAAACATACTTTACTTTACACTGTGCCAGCATGTAACTTCAGATGTCAATTTCACACATTTTTGCAATTTTGGTTTTCTAGCCCTATAACGCCAAACGTATCATATTTGATACATGAGTTTTTCAGCCCTCCACATGAGCAGTGTGATATTTTTTTCCCTGAAAAGCCTGATGTATACAATCAGATACATGCAGTGCACAGATAATCCAACAGGGGGTGTAGTTCAGTCATTAGAGAGCCTTCCAGTGACACTACAAGACTGCCATGACTCAGGAGTTGGACACAGTTGATTTTTGAAGAAGAACTTTGCCAAGTTTGAAAAGGTTAAGGTAAGAAAAAAAATTTAATTTTTACTGAAACATCAACAGGAACAGTTACTGGGTTGATGCAATGTGAAAATACTTAAAATTTCATAATCTATGTTTTAGTAAAACCGTGTTGAAAATGACGTATCAAATTTGATACAGCAGGTATATAAGGTCATGTAACTCTAAATCAGTCAATAGTCATTTTATTGCATTTCATGCATTATATATAACATCAAACAACATACAATCTTTTTATTTTTTAAATTACATAATTTGGTACTAGTGACCGAAAGAACGAAATCGCGGACACAAGCAGCCAAAATGAGTTTCCTCCGCAGGGTGGCTGGGTGCTCCCTTAGAGATAGGGTGAGGAGCTCAGTCACATGGGAGGAGCTCGGAGTAGAACCGCTGCTCCTCCACATCGAAAGGAGCCAGTTGAGGTGGCTCGGGCATCTTTTCCGGATGCCCCCTGGACGCCTCCCTGGGGAGGTGTTCCGGGCACGTCCCACCAGGAGGAAACCCCGGGGAAGACCCAGGACACGCTGGAGGGATTATGTCTCCCAGCTGGCATGGGAACGCCTGAGGGTCCCCCTGGAAGAGCTGGGGGAGGTGTGTGAGGATCGGGAAGTCTGGCCGGCTTTGCTAAGGCTGCTGCCTCCGCGACCCAACTCCGGATAAGCGGGAGAAGATGGATGGATGGATGGATAATTTGGTACATTTAGAGTAAAAAACTAGATATGTAACTTGCTGTATTGATTTGCTAGTTTGGTGTCTAGCTCGGTGTCAGGCAATTTCAAATAAAATCACAATCTGTTTTTGTGTGCATGTGTGTTTTAGATGGCAAAAAAATACAGTATTGAAGATGCTCTGAGCAGGATTATGGATGGGAATTCAAGTGACATGGAGCAGCTAGAGGAAGATGATGATGATGAGGAGGAGGAAGAGGAATGGACTCCTGCAAAGATTGGGGAAAACCCAGACAGCAGTGATGATGAGGAAGAGGAAAACCTTGATAGTCGTGATGATGATGAAAGCCCAGAAGTCCCAGAAGAGGACACAACAAAACCAAAGGACACAACACTAAAGCAGTCGGCAAGGGGTTATGTGAAAAGGAAGGTGTATCAGTGGAAAAGAAAACAGTTTGAAACTCCATCTGTTGAGTTTGTGGAATGTGTCGAGGAAGACTCTGATGAGAGGCTTGACTGGACGCCATACATGTATTTTAAAGATTTTGTGACTGACGAAATGCTCGTGGCCATTTGCTGCAGGTCCTTCTTCCATTCCTCTCCCCACTTTCCTGTCTTCCTTTCTCTACTGTCCTGTCAAATAAAGGGAGGGGAGCAGGAGGACATCCATCCATCCATTATCTATACACCACTTAATGCTCACTAGGGTCACAGGGGGCTGGAGTCTATACCAGCTGACATAGGGTGAAGGCAGGTTCACCTGGACAGGTAACCAGTCTATCACAAAGAGACAGACAGCGACTCTCACATTTTTTTCACAATTTAGAATTACCAGTTAACCTCAGCATGTTTTTGGACAGTGGGAGGAAGCCAGAGAACCTGGAGAGAACCCACGCTGCACGGGGAGAACATGGAGACTCCACGCAGAAAGATCCCAGGCATCCTAACCAGGACGAACCGGGGATCTAGCTGTGAGGTGACGGTGCTAACCACTGAACAACCGTGCAGTACGCAGGCAGATTTAAGTTGTGTTACTGATCCTGAGCCTTCTATGTTACATATATTTGTAGATCAACACCTACAACAGAAATTAAGTTGTGCATAAAGAATTCACTTCAGTGACAGCACCAGCAGAAAATGGCTCACATATTGCAAAGTAAGGAATTCATGAGAGAAGTTCAGTCGCAACCTTTTTGTCTTGGTAAGTCAAGTTTACAGTTTATGTAATGCTAAGTTTTAGTTTACGACCCCTTTTTTTCTGAGGGCCACATTTGTTTGGGCTCATGTAGTTGCTGGCACAACAGTGAGTCATCAGGCCAAAACACGCTCTTACATTAAATTTCAGATACATCCACACCCTGCTTTGTTCTTAAACCTCCACTGCTGTGCATGCAGCTGAGACATGGCATCTGGTAGATCTTGTGGAGGGATTAGGATTCTGATGGGTCTGACAGCTAAATTTCAGACTTCTGGCTGTTTTGGAGATACAGTAACTGGATGTTTCTGTGATAGATCGGGCAGCTGCTGTAGTTCTGTCCTGGATTCTGACAGTTGTGGTGGTTGGCCAAGCTGAAGCTGGGACTCAGATAGCTCTTGTTTTGGCTGTGTTAGAAGGCTGGTTGAGACTTCTATTATTTTAGATTCTGAGGCATCAGATGTTTGCTGAGATTGGCTCTGGTTCACTGATGGGTCTTGCTTTGATTTGATCTTGGACTCTGATTGGTCTGACAGTTGAGAATGTGAATCTAGATGCAACTGTCTCTGCAGCTCCTCTGCACTGTGGGCTAACATGATGCTCACTTTCCTCTGGTGAGCCAGGGCCTCCTCCTTGTCATTCAGCTACAGCAAGAAACACAGCATCAGTACAAAGGGAGAAAAAAAATCATTCTCTCTAGAGATAAAATAAATCTTAGTAACACTGATATAAAGATCATTTACAAGGTTTATCCACATCAATTCCAAAAACTGGCTTTACTGATGAGCTTTAATGGTCAACATTGTATGTATTTGATTCTAGGAAAAAAGGCAAAGATATTTTTGATAATAAACAGGTGAATATATAACATGCAACTGAAACAAATTTAAGAATGCAGGAAGGTCTGTAATATGACTTAGTTATTGGTCTGCCTAAAGATGAGCTTTTATTGTTGAAGAAACACTAAGTTGCAAACTCTGACCCTTCAGTATTTTTCTCCAGCAGTTTTTCAACAAGCAAGTGTTTTTTGTTTTTTTTTTAATTTCATAATTCATTTACATACTAGAAAAAATAGGCACTGTGTACTTTCAATTCAATCCAGTTGAATTTTAATTTCGTACTGTCATCTTCAACCTCTGACATTTAGAACAAGGACAAATACTTCTGACTTTAAATGTGGTCAGCAGGTGACGTAACTACTTAATTTGAAGTAGACTGAGGTCGTAAGTTTAACTGTACAGGCAAGGGTGTTGCAGTTATTTTCCTTTTAATGGGGCTAAAACAATTAAAACAACTACACTGCAAAAGGTTAACTCCTGAATCAAACTCCCCATAGCAACCCCCAGTAAATTTCAGTAAGTGTCTATGTTGTGATCGCTAGATAACAGGGCCTAAGATTTTAGGGACGATACTAACCAAGTCCAGCAGTTTGTAGAGAGTCTCTAAAAGATCCTTAGGCGGCTTCATCTCCAAAGTAGATGGTAGCAACCCCCTCAGCCTCCTGCTTACACTGACTAAAGGATTCCCGTTAGGACCTGGGAGAAGAGACAGGTATTTTTCAAATGATTCCAAAAAACAGGAACTATGAGGCAGTCGAGTCAAGGGCTATTTATATCATCATGGCAAAAACAGCATTAAACAAAATAACAGCAAATCCCCAACTTCGATAGGGAAAACCTGTACTCACATTCGAGTGGCAGCAATAGAGACAGAAGACACTGAGACAGCCCAAATTCACAAAAGACAGCCATACTGGCAAAAACTGCCAATTTGCTTGGGGGAAAAAAAGTGAATGATTGGATTTAGGTTTATTTAGTTCTCTCTATAATGTAACCCTTATTGCACTTTGCATTAAGTTACCTGACAGATTCAATTTTTTTGAAAGTATATTAACTTCACTGTCTGAAACCTCTGTACAATGCTGTATTCATGTACCATTCATGTCTGGGGACAGGAAAAAATGTTTCTGAACATTAAAAAAAGAATAATTTCCACAAATTTCTAGCAACTTCACTTCCAAGTAGCATATTGTGGTAAGTCTGTGAACAAATTGAAAAATCAAAGCCCTTTTCAGTGAGAACTGTACAGGTCTGAATTTAGGAGAGACTAAGAGTTATACACACTGCCTGTTGGATGACCTAACCACCCAGTTTGATGTGGCACAATATACTAAAAACAAACTTGCCTTCAGCTTTCCAGTGATGGGATTTTAGGATATTGGCCTCGGCCAATAGTAGGAAGTGTTCGCTTCGTTTCCTCAGTTGTTGTTCGAAGGCAATACGAAAAGCATCTGCAACCATCAAGGCTTCCTCTCTCCTTGAGCGCTGAGCATCAAGCTGAAAAACACACATGGACACTAAGTTTGACTTTAAGTAACGTACTTCAGGGAAAGTTACGTGTGTCTTTCAGACAACGTATCAACACGTATAAACCTGACCAATTAGTTGTCTTGGAAAACAGCATCACCATTCCTGGAAGATCTAAGGATAAAATTGTCTTTCATACCATGAGAAAACATCTGAGTAACACATGATACAATATACTGAGTAACATTATAGAATAAACAGTATTTATAGTCAAATCTACTCTTGTGCTTTAATCACAGGACAGTAATACTTGCACATTCCCAAAGTCATCATTTTGTTTCCAGCTGTCCTTCCTGCTTCGACTGCAGCACTGGTGATGCTTTCAGCCTGTATTATATATTTTTTTAATTCCTCATTGTTGTAGGATTGTAATTTGCTCTTCTGGTGAGAAATATGCAGCTGCAGACCTGCTCATGATTGAGAATGGTCATTTGGTTTATGTGAACGTGCTCATAGCTAGATGTAGAAACCGTGGAGTTGATATAATGAATTGATAATCAGGTTTGTAAGACTGCTTCACATGACTGTGGTCTTCTAAGCCAGATAATAAAAAGATATCCTTAGAATGCTGAACTTGCTTTGTTGTACAGGCCTCTGCTAAGTTCTGCTGTTTGCTTTAATATGTGCTGGGCTTACAATATAATCCTTATATTTAGCTCAGAAGCACGGGTATGGAAATGGATGAAGAAATTAGTAAAGATATTACTTTGCAGAAGTTTATTTCCACTTCATAATGTGGTTACTTTGGTAGGCTCAAATATGTGACAAACATAATAAGTGTGCTCAATTTTGTGATATGTGTCTATATCAATGTAATAACAAGTTCATGAGTCATTCAAACAAGACTACAGAGTGTGCAGATGGACACAGAGCTGGATGCAAGTTGTTATGCTGCGTTCACACCAGACGAGAATTCATCACGCGATTCGCACGTATTTGGACACGTGCATGCACTGAGTTTACTTGCTTCATTTGCACGAATAATTCACATCATTCACGCCAGCGAGATATGCGTCTGGATTCGCGTCATTTGCACAAATGACGCGAATCCAGACGCCACAGTGTCCGGGTCCATCGGATCCTCCAGAGACGCACACAGCTCGGGGAATTCCACCTTGGATGACAGCCGCTTCCAGCGTTATTTTCAGCTGATCTGGACTCAGTTTGACGATCTGTTGGAGAGTATCGGTACCAGGATATCCCCCCAGGATACCAATTACAGGCGGCTCCGCTGCTGAGCTGGAGCACACATTCAACAACACGGACAAGCGGACGCCAGCAGGAGTACATTGACACAGCAACAAGGAATCAGTGGAGGTTTATCCTGCTAGCATTGCGATAGCTAGCAACTCGACTCGCTAGCTTGCTAAGTTGAAGAGGTGCCATTCTTGTGTGTGGACTGGAGGAGAGGGACAGCCAGTCTGCTGAGCACTGAGATCTGTCTTGGCTAGTAATGTGGATACTTCACCGTTTTCTGCGGTGACTTATCTTCTGGGGTGAGTAACTCAATCAGTATTCACCGTGTAGTTGCAAAAAACTGAATGAATCATGTTCTTGACGTCACCAGAAAATCTCAATGCTGATTGGCCAAAAGATCGACAAAACTCATATTTTTCAACTTGCGCGTCCAACGCGAGTTCGCTGCATTCACGTGTTTTGCGCGTTTAACGCAGCGAGAATCGCACCATACACCCAAATAACTCACTCAATTTGCATTTGTGCCGCGCTATTTACACAATTCGCGCCGCGTGACGTTTACTCCCATCTAATAGTGTCTTCACACAGCATTACAATTATTACATTGGCTGTAAATTTAAAATGGTTCTTCTCAGCAACACTTTGTCACACATACATGCAACTGGTATTGATAGAAAGTGAGTCTTGCAGTTTCATTTGATGTGTGCGCCACGTTACTGCAATTAATACTCTGTGAGCAATTCAGCTGAGAAAAGGGGATATGAATTTGCATCCAAAATTTGTTTAAACATGAAATGAAATGAAATGAAAAATACTTTATTTATCCCAGAAGGGAAATTCAATTAAACATCCCAAAAGATATAATTGTAATGAGGCAAATACCTAACTGAGCTAAAATTGCATTTCAAATCCCACTAATATATGCAGTACTTGGCCTGAACACTAAAATATAACACAGCTGTAGTGACTCAATATACAGGTCAGCCAGAAACTACAGAAAGTCTGAGTTCAGGGCATCATTGCACAATGAACACAGCAGGCAGTGGGAGCTCACAGACCCCAAAGCAGCAGAAAGAAGCAGAGGAACCAGGTGCAGTAATTCACACTGCAGTTGATCAGTGTTGTAATGCAGAATGCAAGTGGGAAATAAAAACAACATGACATACACACAGACACCGGCCTGCTAAATGTCGAGTGTTCTGGTAAATAAAAATGGAAAAAATATGTAGTTGCACATACAGTGGGGAAAACAAGTATTTGATACACTGCTGATTTTGCAAGTTTTCCCACTTAGAAAGAATTAAATTTTTTATTTGACCTTTATCTTACTGGGTAAAAACATTTGAGAACCAGTTCTGATTTGCAAGCAGGACCTGGCCAGAGGCGCCAGCAGGAACAAATACACATGTAAATTACAGAGACAAATAGACACATAAACATAACATAGAACAAAGTAAACATGGAGAGGTCTGTCATTTTTATCGTAGGTACACTTCAACTGTGAGAGACAGAATCAAAAAAATTCCAGAAAAACACATTGCATGATTTTTAAATAATTAATTTGCATTTTATTGTATGAAATAATTATCTACCAACCAGCAAGAATTCTGGCTCTCACAGACCTGTTAGTTTTTCTTTAAGATACTTCCTTTTCTCCACTCATTACCTGTATTAATTGCACCTTTTTGAACTCGTTACCTGCTCACACACTCAATCAATCAGACTCCAACCTCTTCAACATGGGCAAGACGAAGAGCTGTTTAAGGACACCAGTGACAAAATTGTAGACCTGCACAAGGCTGGGATGGGCAACAGGACAATAGCCAAGCAGCTTGGTGAGAAGGTAACAACTGTTGGCGCAATTATTAGAAAATGGAAGAAACTCAAGATGACTGTCAATCTCCCTCGGTCTGGGGCTCCATGCAAGATCTCGCCTGATGGGGTATCAACGATCATGAGAAAGGTGAGGGATTAATGACCTGAAGAGAGCTGGGACCACAGTCTCAAAGGTTACCATCAGTAACACACTATGCCGTCATGGATTAAACTCCTGCAGTGCACGCAAGGTCACCCTACTCAAGCCAGCACACATCCAGGCCTGTCTGAAGCTTGCCAATGACCATCTGGATGATCCACAGGAGACATGGGAGAAGGTCATGTGGTCAGATGAGATCAAAATGGAGCTTTTTGGTTTAAAATCCACTTGCTTTTTAGAAGACGAAGGATGAGTACAACCCCAAGAAGTCCATCCCAACCATGAAGCATGAGGGTGGAAACATCATACTTTAGGAGTGCTTTTTTTTAGCAAAGGGGACAGGATGACTGCACCGTATTGAGGGTAAGATGGATGGGGCCATGTATTGCACGATTTTGGGCAACAACCTCCTTCCCTCAGCAAGAGCATTGAAGATGGGTCGTGGCTTGGCCTTCCAACATGACAGTTACCCAAAACACACAGCCAGGGCAACTAAGGGTAGCTCCATAAGAAGCATTTCAAGGTCCTGGAGTGGCCTAGCCAGTCTCCAGACCTGAAACCAATAGAAAATCTTTGGAGTGAGCTGAAACTCTGTGTTGCCCAGCGACAGCCCCAAAACCTGAAAGATCTGGATAAGATCTGTATGGAGGAGTGGGCCAAAATCCCTGCTGCAGTGTGGGCAAACCTGGTCAAGAACTACAGGAAACTTCTGACCACTGTAATTGTAAACAGAGGTTTCTGTACCAAATATTAAGTTCCGTTTTTCTATTCTTTCAAATACTTATTTCATGCAATAAAATGCAAATGAATTATTTAAAATCATACAATGTGTTTTTCTGGATTTTTTATTTTTATTTTTTTTAATTCTGTCTTTCACAGTTGAAGTGTACCTATGATTAAAAATTACAGACCCCTCCATTCACTGTAAGTGAGAAAACTTACAAAATCAGCGGTGTATCAAATACTTATTTTCCCCACTGTATATATGGACCACCAGGTAATAAGTTTAGAACACCTCCAATTTACTGAAATTGCAATATGCAGCACTTCATTTTTCAGTGCAGGGCTGGACAGTTTGTCAAAATTTGAGAATTTGTGGAATCAACACACGTACAAGGTACTTCAGCTTTTAGCGCAGTCAGTTGTCAAATGTAAAATCCTAGTCTAGCCAGCTGCTTGAGTTAAACATCTCTTTGTGCATCTATGCTATATGGACTGGAAGCAGCCAAAATAGATGCGTATTATACACCATTAAGAATGGGCTCTTTCTGCATGGAGTTTCCATGTTCTCCCCGTGCAGCGTGGGTTCTCTCTGGGTTCTCCGGCTTCCTCCCACACAGTCCAAAAACATGTTGAGGTTAATTGGTGATTCTAAATTGTCCGAAGGTGTGAATGTGAATGTGAGGTCAAACAAGGAGTGGTTAGGGTGTACAATGTCTTTGTAAATAGTGGTTGCTTTCTTTCTGAGTTTGTTCAAGTATAAAGTGTCCAATCCCAGGAGCTCCAACTTAATGACAAACTGGGCTGCTTTCACCACATGTAGCTGTCATACCACACTGTGGCGCTGTTTGTCAGGATGGACTTTATGGTGTTTCTGCAAAAGCTCAGTTGCTCAGTAACTGCATTGTTGAAGTTCCCTGCTACAACGACTACACTGCATGGGTGAGATATTTCATGACAGTGCAAGTAAACTGGAACTTAACTAAACTTCATGTAGCATCAGCTTGCAGGGGAATGTAAACTTTCATGATTCTTATGGTTGTGAATTCCCTCAGTAGAAAGAATGATCTCCAAGTCACTACCAGGAGCTTGTTATAATTAATTAAGTTTCAAGCTATTATGTATTCTGAGTTTGTATTTTGCACTGAGCTTATGTCCTTGAAGACAATGTGGCCGATGAGAACCAGTTCGCACACTTGGAGATAGCAGAAACTCCTCTTTTCTATTAGATACGATTGTTACTTTAGCTACACGCCGTACCAACAACATCCACACATGTTGCTTACCAAACATCAAGGACGTGGACAGAGCGCAGAAGAGGTATGCCTGTCCACGCCATTGGTAACTGGTCAATTTAACTCGGTAGCATACAAATCTTATCTATGTTCAGGGGCAGGCCCAGCCCAAGAAGATATCTGGAACCTGGAACCGAAAAACCTCAGTTCAGCTGGACATGAGAATCCTCTCTGTCCCTCTGAATCCAGCGCTGCAAAACTTTACCTGTGACCTAAAATAAATTCTACATCTGAGAACTGAAGATTTCACCGGCTTGTTCTTGGGCTTCCAACTAAAGAATCAGGTCTAACAAGCTCCACGCCAGGGCAGCATTATTTATCCATCATATTCACACACCATTGGCTGTACAATATGTATTGTTCATGAAGATATACAGATCTACCCCACACCGTTCTTAGCAGAGTCTCTCACACAATCCACTCTGTAAAAAGAGTGGGCCGCTAGCTTGATAGCAATGTCCAGTATATTTTTTCACTGAGCCAGTTCTCTGTGATGGTAGTCATGCAGTAGGGCATGATTCTTGCTCTGACCTCACCCATCTTATTAACAAGTGACCTGGTCTCACAAGGAAGAGGCTTGGCAGTGCTGGTTTGTACAGGATAGCTCTGAGACTGGCCCCTTCATTCAAACCACTTGCCCCACTTTAGCATTCTCTCCCTCCACTGCTGGTGCCGTCTTGCTGGTGGTAGAGCAGTCCAAGAGGTTCCAGCATATGGATAATCTCTAGCAGGAGTGAAGTTGTGCAACTCTGCAGACTATAAGGTATTCGCATATAGACAACTGTGAATAATCATTGCTGATATGAGCTGTTGTCTTACTGAGTATACTACCAAGCAGAAGAAAGGAATACACAAAAGACCTGAGACAGAGCTGAGCTGCTGCTTCTACTGCACATGCCGCCATGTTGAACCCTTGTTGTTTCATGTTCTTTACTGTTCATTGTTTATATTCATTGCCATCAGTGTTGCCTGTGACCTGTGTCAAGTTGGTTTAAATGCTTAAAACAAATAATACAATGACTGCAAACAAAAACGAGAAAAAGATAGAGCTTGGCAGAGGTTAAAGGTTAGATGTACTTTACCTCCTGTTGCAACTGAACGA